GGCCAACTTTTCTCTAGGAATGTGTTTTTTATTTATTTTATTTTATTTTATTAGGAATGTGTTTTTAAATCTGGTTTATTTTTCCATACTTGCTTCCATAAAATATTGAGGACATGCAGTTTTACTTTCAGTCTGTGACTTGGTGTTGGTGAAATTCTTTTGTATTTTTTTTCCACATTGTGAACATTTCCATATTGTTTATCATTAGCAATTGCATTCCTAATGGCCCTTTGTGACTACATGACCTTTGTTTCAGAGAAAATGCTTTCCAAATTGAATTCATGATATTTAGAAGGAAAAGTTGTCAACTTTGTAAGAGTTGTAAAATCATGAGTGGCTCTTCCCCACACTGCTAATTAGTAAGAGAACCAATGCATTCTTCTTGTGACTTAATTATTTGTCCATGGTTTTATTATCACAAATCTTCTTGGGATTTGCTACCTTACTTTATGCATCCCCGCCAACATCTGTCATAAAACAGTGAGCTGTTTTATGGATTTTTTTGGTCTTCAATTAGGTATTTTAAATTTAATTGGAAATAAATTATGCTTTCAAAATATGACCATATTTAAATATAACTTAATTTAAAAATAAATTATTACCTGAATATTAGCAATAGTTTCTATTCCTGCTAAAATCACAGTGGCAAGTGGGTTTGACATGTAACTCACTTGTTACTCAAGGACAGTTATTACTTATGTTTTCACGAATGAGAGTCCTTTAAGAAATCAAGGGATAATAATTAAGATTTTAACATAGTATTTTTCCATCAGTGTTCCCCCAAATGATACTCTCCACTTGGTAGGTGAACCAAACCAGCAATATTACTGTTCATTAATCATCACAATAGCCCACCAAAAGAAAATGTGTCTTTCTGGGTGTATGAACACACATACTGTCCTCCCATGCCCGCCAGCGTATGTCCTTTCTAGTGGACATAACCACAGATTCCCACCATGCTTTTTTGTGTTTTTTAATTCATTCATTTTGTCTTTTGTTTTGAAATATTTTCGTATTTATATAGAAGTTGAAAAATCCCTTCACCCAGAGACTCCATTCACCTTTCACTAACTGTCTCAATGTCTTTTCTAGCAAAAGGCTCCAGTCCTGGAACAGGCTTTGCATTTAGTGGTAATGTTATCTGAATCTCTGTCAGACCAGAATAAGTCCTACTTAGACCTTCATGACCTCGACTCTACAAGAGTCGAGGCCTGTGATTTTCTAGAATGTTCCTGAGTTGGTGTGTCTGCTGTTTCCTTCTGATTGGATTTAGGCTCTTCATTTTTGGCTATCATAGCAGTGATGCTGTGTTGTTCTCATTGTATCTTACAAGGTGGTTAGTGATATCAGTATGCCATGCCACTGGTGATTTGCACTCTGATCATTTGAGTAAGGTGCTATTTGCCAGGTTTCTTCAGTATGAAATGACTGTTTTCCCCTTTACAATTGGTAAGTGTTTTGTGGGAAGAGACTTTGAGCCTGTGTAAATATTTATTTCTCATCTAAATTTCATTTACTAGTTTTAGCATCCATTTTTTTTCCTTGCCTGAATTATTACTTCAGTGATTGCCAAATGGTGATTTCTAATTGAACTCTTCCTTCTACATTTATAAGTTAGCATTCTCTAAGGAAAAGCTTTCCCTTCTCCCTGCCTAATATATTCATTCATTTATTTATATCACTGTGGGCTCATGGATTTCTCTTTTATTCAGTGAGGTATCATGTGCCGTTACCATTATTGGTCTGATAGTCTGATTGCCTCAGAGCTGGCTAGGGGGAACCTCTGGAGCTAGCTTCTGAAACACTCCCACCATTCTGAGAGCATATCTGACATTCCAGACTTACCTTGTACTTTCTGTCCCAGCCTGGATTCACCTAGTTCTTTGAGATGCCTGGTTCCTGATATTTAGAAGCCAAGATCTGGACACTTGGTATGCTCCATGCTACTGGGGTGTTATTGCTCCCAGATCCTCCCAGGACACAGAGCCAGGAAATATATGTAGGTGTATACACACGGGTGTATCTTAACACACACACACACTTTTACTTCTGTCTATCTGTCTATCTAGAACCATAAATTCACACTGATATATTTAATTCCAAACAAACACCATAGGCTTTATTTTAGCTTTCCCCCTTTTCAAATTTGTAACTCCCTTTTCAGGCAGTGAAGAACATGACTCCAATTAACCTCAATATATTTATTTGTTTGATCAGTCTACCTCTATGTAATAGTCTCCTGACTCTTCTGTTGGCCAGATGCATTATGTAAACCCCCCATCATAAATTCTTGCTGCCATGTCAGCTAAACCATTGGCCTTTGGTGTAAATACTTACCAATGTCTCTTAGTCCATTTACTTTCTGTTTGTCTCTTTGCATGTGAGTGCGCACATGCACACATATACACACTGGTATAAAACACTGGCAATTTAATAGGTAGGGAAACACTCTTTTACCCCATGGGAAGATGTAATTATAAACTGGTATGATATGAATTAAATGACAGTATCTTCAATTAGTGAACAAGTTAAAGATTGTAGTGATAGAAACACCTATTTTCATTGCTTTCAGGATGTAAATGCTCTTCAAATAATGGCAATTTTACTTTATTTTATTTATTTATTTTCTTAAAGATTTTATTTATTTATCTGACAGAGAGAGACACAGCGAGAGAAGGAACACAAGCAGGGGGAGTGGGAGAGGGAGAAGCAGGCAGGGAGCAAGGAGCCTGATGTGGGGCTTGATCCAAGGACCCTGGGATCATGACCTGAGCCAAGGGCAGACGCTTAAAGACTGAGCCAGCCAGGCGCCCCTAAATAACGGCAATTTTAAAATATAAGTTAATTCTTCCTTATTAAGAATCATCCACATGGTTACTTGCAATACATTTTTTTTTAAAGATTTTATTTATTTATTTGACAGAGAGAGAGAGATAGCGAGAGCAGGAACACAAGCAGGGGGAGTGGGAGAGGGAGAAGCAGGCCTCCCGCCGAGCAGGGAGCCTGATGTGGGGCTCGATCTCAGGACCCTGGGATCATGACCTGAGCCGAAGGCAGATGCTTAAGGACTGAGCCACCCAGGTGCCCCGCGATACATTTTTTTTTTAAATACTCTAAATTCAGTAATGGATTTTGCAACTTTTGAGAGAAAATATGCATAAGGCTGGTTTTTCACAAAGGCAATTTTCTGTTTTTATAAAACTATCGGAAAGCACAAGAGAGTCACATGATGCAAGAGAGATAAGAAACATCAACAAATAATAACAAAGGTTTGCAGTCTGTTTGCATAAGGCAAATAGTATGCAAATAACTAAGCCAAAACTTTACATTAGGGGAGAGCAGTGTCTATATATTTGCAGAAAAATGTATTGAAATGCACAGAGTTGCTCAACAACACATGGCATTGCCATATTGTTGTCAGCATCTGAGGTACGGCTTTGCAAGGAGTTTGCTTGCCGGCTATGACTTTACTATTTCTCTCTGACATAGCTGTTGTTCAGTGGTTAAATTGCACTCTTCTGTGCTCCAGTATTTGCATTTACATTACAGACCACAGTGTGAAGGATGTTTCTTATTAGTGAAGCATCTATGTTGATTCTTCATTGCTCTGTGTTTGTATCACAATTATGAGAAAGTTTAAGACTCACCTTGGCATATTTATAAGCCCGTCTTCTTTTGTGTGTACTTCTCAGGATTCTTTACGAAATGGATGGCCCAAGAGAGAGAAGACATCCTAAATACTGTAGGAGCACAATTAACTGGAGAAGGGTGATTAATGGCTAGGCTCTTAAAAGCTACTCTGTCCTGCCAGTATGCCTCCATCTCTGCTCCTAGTCACAGGGTTATGTTTACCTTTCAGACTGGCTCGCAATTAGAATATGGAGATTTTATGCCTGATGGTTTTGTTCATTAATTCAAAGACTATAATAGGTCCTTGACATGTTTGGATTGAACTTTTGGACAACTAGCAAATGACCTCAAGTATATTTTGCTCAGGGACAAATTTGAATCCCTCAGGCTGTGTGGTTTGTGTGTGGGACTTGTCACTCACTCACCCGTGTATCAGCTTGGCTGACTCTCCTGGGTTTGCAGCTCAGCACAGTGGGGCTGCTCCCTTCTGTTATTTCAGTGACAGCCACGTGGAAAAGTATATGCTTTGCAGTATTCTCAAGTTTTAGCATTCGTGAAGCTCTTCGATCGTATCCCTCCCTCCCTGCATCCCTCCATTCTACTTCTGTTCCTTTCTCTTGTCTAATAAGGCTCTTGGTCTTAGACCTGTGGTTTTACATTCCACAGAATTTTTTCATTAATTTTTTTCTCATTCTTTCCAGGCACTGTTACCTTTATGCTATAATCAGTCTTCAGTATCTGTATTTCAATTTGAAAGAATCATGTCTATTCTTTACATTAGTTCAGTGCTTTCATCTCTGTTTTTGTCTGATACTTACTTTGGCTTCTGTTTTCATTGACAAAATTACCCACAGCATTAGTTAGCTGTATTATAATAATATAATAATAGTTGGAAAGACCTGAGCTAAAAAGCGGCTCTGAAAGCTACTGGTTGTGTTTGCATATCCTTAAAACCGAGGGTCAATAGTACCTATTTTATCAATTCATTGTACAGATTGAAATAAATAATGTATTACAGTGCTCACCCCAAACCAGGCATATAGTACAGATGGGAAATGTTAGGAGAAATTCCACTAGGCAGGATCTTTGACTCTTATGTACATAAACACCTAATACAGAGCCTGGCATACAGTAAGTACTCAATAAATGCATGTCAGCTGTTGCCATTGTTCTTATGTTGCCATCTCAGTGCTTTGAAAATTAAAGATAAGCAGTATGCATATAAAACATATAATAAAGGGTATGACACAAAGTAGGTGATTTGGCTAGAATGGTATTTTTAGAGACATATCATCAGGCAAATGATTGGTTAGTGTTCTTGGGAAAACATCTTCAGAAAGACTAAAGGTCTTTTGTTTTGTCCTTCTCAGGCATCCTGTTTTCCCTGGTGGTGATGCTGTATGTCATCTGGGTCCAGGCAGTGGCTGACATGGAAGGCTACAAAAACATGAAAATGAGAGACTGCTTGGAGTTCACCCCTTCTGTTCTGTATGGCTGGTCATTTTTCCTGGCCCCGGCGGGGATATTTTTTTCTTTATTAGCTGGATTACTGTTTCTAGTTATTGGGCGGCATATACAGATACATCACTAATCAAACCGTTGCCACCAGCGTTTTCTTGAGAGGTTTTAAAACAGGATTTTTTTTTTTTTTCATTTTGTTTTGGGGATCCCAGTGTAGAATTATTAGATGAGCTTTTTAGTTAGTATTTGAATTTTGCTTTTACATTTTACTTGTGATTTCTGCTAGTAGGAAGGTCTTAGAATCTTTCCAGACATCCACGTTTCCATCCCCTGTAGGTGCTATCAAGAACCTAGGTCTCTAAGGAGCAGTAACATGGGCTTCCCTCTCATTGCAACTGTTAGAGCTCACGCAGGTTACAAAGGCCTGATAGTGAAGCTTTGATTTAAACTTCCTTCTTGGCATTCACTTCTGCTGCTATTAAAAAAAAAAAAAAATCTTTGGAGAATAATTAAACAGAAAACAAATGTTGTCAGAGAACTTACCCCATTTCTTCTCCACACATGTGCATCTCCACATACACATTACTGACTCCTGTAAGATAATTATTTATGACTTAAAAATAAATAACAGTGTGCTTGTGGCAAGAGCCAGGCAAACCCATCAGTTCAAATGGACCACAACCTGACTGAGGACACGTACTTACTCCACTCTCTTACCAACAGGAGTTTGGTCACTTAATTCTATTCCCTTAATTGTGCATGCTTACATAACCTTAAACTATGTTTAAAAGTGGCAAATCTGTACACCAAATTACATATAATGCAGACTGGATTTTTAGAAGCTCGGTGGATTAATTATATGTAATATGGTTGCAAATATGTAAAAACCAGGTACCTTAGCTTAATACTTAGTTCTGTTTGATATTTTTAAATTCCTCCTTAAAATTATATGCTAATATGTTCAGCATGTGAAAATTTATTGATGAAATGTGCTTTTAATATGCACTAGCTATAAACTTTCAAAATATTTCCATATGAAATAATAGCCTTGCTTTATTAAAGACTATGAAATATTAACTTTTCCCAAGGTTTTATGGGTTGTAGTTCTTTTGATCATTTGATTCCCTTAATTATTGACTCTCAGTTTCTTCATCTTTACAACAGGTATTTTAACATTTACAGATATGCTAATTACTTTAACGTCTTGGAAGAAAACTTGGTGCTGGTTGGTGGATAATTCTTTCTTATTTGCTAGTGTAGACATGCAGACATTTTGCATATCAAAGATGTTTGTTTGGCACTAATTTTGATTGAAATCAAATCCATCTGAGAAGCCCACGTTGCATTTGCATTTTGGAAACCTCCACCAAGGAGCAGTTTGGTGTTGGTGAGGGAACAGAGAGCCCTCATGGTATGCGAGCTTTGTTCTGGGCACAGTGTTTTGCTCTGCAGCTGTTGTGATTACCTGAGGCAGGACTCAGAGGCAAATTAAGAGATGCTGGGGGACAGAGGGGCTATTGCTTTCCATTCAGCCATTCCCCTGATGGAGAGATTGCCTGTCTTCTCCAGACATCTGTACTTTCCATTAACCTTTTTCAGTGGGAGGGATTTCTGGAGGAATGGCCATGCTCTGAGGTTTCTGCAGAATCATGAGGGCATTTTAGTGTTTAGGGACAGAGAGGACTAGCATGTGATAAAAACAAAACACAAAAATATAAGACAAAAAAACAAAAGCTTCAGGGGTTTAACTGGTTTCTCAAGCCATCTGAGTTATAAATGTTTTTTGTGGTACTTGCCTTTGTCTTTTTCTGTTTTCATTTTTATATTGCTCCATTTACTTCTTTGCTTTTGGCTTGATTATTAGAAAAATAATTATGGGTTCTGTTATGCATATTTACTGTGATATTAAGTTATGGCATGCCATTAAGTTTTCCAGACGATGCTAGCTGTATTTGATTAGTTCATGTCATCTGTAAATACAATTCCTTTTTGTAGAACTTTGGAATGGAGCCTTTTTTCTGGTGTATTATATGTCATTTAAATTTCACATACAAGCTGCTTTCAGTAAAGGTTTGAATATTTATAAATTTCAGATGGTTATCCTCATTTTCTAATACACTTATGCGGCTACCATATATTTATCATAAGGCAATTGGCTGAATATCTGATGTGTATGACACTTTTACACAGATACATACTTTGGAAGTATTTCATAGTTGTAATGCATCAATCACATTAATTCAGATGCATTTCCTGATCTACTTACCAGCAATCCATGGAAGGAAGGAAGGTGAGTTGTATGTGCTGTGTCAATAAGTAATATACTTGAAAATAGCAGAAATATGCAGTATATTCTTGTAACAGCCTTATGTCTGATTTAAGATAGTATGTGTGTCTCTATTCTATGTATTGACTAATTTTCAGACGCTTCCAAATACTGTGTTAAAACCTTTTTTAAGAGAGTTGATTTTGCATCATAAAGTTTCAATGTAACAAATACAGTGGTGATATTCTGGAAAGTGAAGAGGGCGGTGAGTCATGCCCTTGGACTTTGGGGAAAGCTGTGATCTTTCCATACTGTATTTGTTTAGGGGTTCAGTCAGTTGGGCTGCAGGTAACATTACACTGGGACTAGCTGGAAAAACCATACAGAGAAGCTGAATAACAGTGTTCAATTTAGGAGTTGAGGGTAGGACTTAAAAAAAAATTTCTAAAAAAAAAAAAATTCTACTAGTATGTTATTACTGGCCATTTAGTCACTTTTATGACTAATGTATGAAATGTATTTATTGAATTTGAATATTAAACCCACTTATAAAGGCATATGATGGATGAGGTGTCAGTATTTGGTTCTTATCTATGTATCTATCATCAACTCATATGTACATATGTACGTGTGTGTGTGTGTATGTGTGTGTCTACTCATGATTATAAATTTGGATAGAAAGAGATAAAGAGATAAACAAAAATTAAAAAATCAGTTTCAGGGGACAGTAATAGAGCTTATGTCCCTGAGTACTACTTTAACTGTTTTACTCAATTGATGATGGTCAATTCAGTTCAACACATAATTTGACTTATATTTTCATGAAAGAAACCAAATAAGGCTTACAAAGAGGCTTAGAATGTCATTAAGGATTAGACAGATAGGGGATGCTGGTAAAAATAGGCTGTACATACATCTTCATGGGGGTAGCATTGTGGGGAAAGACCCATAGTGCTGGGATTATATGGAAAGAAATGTATTAAGAGGATGAGTCCCCAATTTGATTTTGGTGGGATGCCACCAGGAATGAGGGGGGGCTCATACAGCAGAGACAAAATAGAAACTACATTTTTGCTGATTGTCTGAAAGCATTAAATACATAGAGACATTTCCTCAGTGATGACCGAGTGTAGGTACAAAAATTCCAACAAAAACTTAGGAAGATGGTATATTAGATGTTAAAAGCCAAGGAGGGTGGGGAAATATTAAACATCATATATATTATAATGAGCATAAAGCAAGCACAGGAACATTTAACCTGGTTAGCAGGGTAAGAGGAAAGAAAGAACAAACATCCAACTAGAGCTTAGAGTTTCTGAGGCAAGTGCTAGGACCTCTGTCTCCAGGAACATTAAAATCAGCCTGGACCAGTCTGTAGGGGTGGGGGGTACTGGAGAGAACAAGTATGAAATGACAGTGGGGGAGTACTAAGGGTCCCGCTCTGGCTTCTGAAGGGTCGTGTTCCCCGCTAGTGTGTTGCTGTGATTGTGAACAATTGAAAGGGCAATTGGCTGGTTGAGCTTTATAAAATGAAATGCCTTTGGATATAGAGAATCATATGCTATGTCTAACCATTCTGTTCTATTTGTAAGGCCTCTATAAGCAAATAAATTAGAATGATTTTGAATTCAAGTAATGATTTTTCTGGTTTACACAAATGACAGAGATAGTCTAAATTGGCTTTATGAAATAAGTGTGGTTGGAGTAATTGGCATCCTGTACTGATGCTGAGTATTATGGAGATAATTTAGGGGAGAGAAGTCTCACTGGGATAAAATAAGTACACAGGCCACAAAAATTTTAATATTCCCATTCTTCTGGGAGTCAAGAAGTTATTGTGACATAATTCACTCAAAATGTAAATAGTTCCCCCTTTATGTGGCAATTGGTTTTATTTTTCTTAGCATTTCTCTTTCCATTTATTCTAAACAGGAACTGCCACTGTTAAAAAATTTACCAGTGCTTACAGATTGGATTGTCATTGAAAACTAGCTAAACAAATAGGTATTTGGTCAATACAGCTTTGAGAAGAATGATATATAAAAAATAATGCTTGTTGCCCCATATTTTGGTGTGCCATATATAGACACTATCTGCAGTATTGATATATCATCTTTACTCTCCCAAAATACAAGACTTTTTTTCTCAAGAATTTTATGGGTATATGTAAATGCTTGGAGAAATGTCAGACAGAAAGTTGGATTAACCTCTGTGTGTGTTGTACTACCCACAGACCTATGTATGTTTATATTTATGTATGTGTGTGGCATGTATGCATGTGTATGTATGGATTTGGATAACAATGCACATATATTTGTCAATAGACAGGCCTGAATATGCACACACACACATATATATGTATATAATACATGTGTGTTTATAAAAATATTTTGTATATATAATATATATGTTTATATATAATAAATACCTATATTTATTTTATATTGTATGTGCATATCGCAAATATCTGTCTGTCTCAGGCATTCCTGAGCTCTTAAGGCTTGCTGAAGGGGAGGACATATTTTGTCTTTATGCTATTGCAAGCCTATCCCAGTGGTGAGTGAGGAATCCAGGGAAGACTCAGTGAATGCTATCACAGCCTCTCTTCCTTGGACCCGGGGCATATGTGATGATGCACGTGGATTGGTTGTGTCTGACCCTATGCATGCCTAATGGCAATGACCCTGTCCTTGAACACCTTCTAACAACTGATATCTAGTTGTTAATTAATATTTACTTAATAGTAATAAATTTTGCCAGATAAAAGAATTCCTTTCTAAAGCAGCATGCCTTGGTTGAATTTTTTGAATCCTCCTGCAGAAGGTTAAGCCAACTGGATGCCTCATGAATGTCTTATTTGGGTCACTTATAGGGAGGATCCTCTGGTGTGGTGGGAAAGGTTTTTAAATCTACATCTGAAGACCTGCAATCCAATCCCTGGATTTTAAACTTAAAATTTGGCAAGTTATTCCACCTTACTTTGGCTCTGTATATTCATCTAAAATATTTACTAGTTTACTCAGCAAATAATAATTGTGTGCATACTACGTGTCACAAATGGTGCTGAATATTGGGTGTATATTACTAAACAAGACAGATGTGGTATTTTCATTCTTCAAGCTAGGATTCAAGGAAACAATATAGACAACAAGCAAATGAACAAAAAATAACCCACTATGATATATAAATTGTGATAAGTCCTCTAATGAAAAATACATAGGACATAATGACATAAAACCATGATTGTAGTCAGGGAGGTTCTTTGTCAGAAGAGAATTCTGAATTGGAGAGAACACCGAGTATTCCGATACATATAAGATAGGAAGGGGCCATCTGGGTGAATGGTGGCCTGAGAAGTTTTCAGGGAGGGGGACTAGTGGCATAAGGTCTGAGCGTGGAAAGAGCTTGACGTGTTCTAAGAACAGCAAGCTGGCTTGTGCGGCTGGACGTTGCAGGGGAGAGTTCCGTTATGAAGTTGGAGAAGTAAAGGCCCAATCATTTACTCCCCTGTGGCTGTTATAGTATATTTTGAAGCAGAAAATTGAAAGAACTTGCTGGTGGAGTGGATATGGGATGAAGAGAGGGACAAGCCAGAAATCACTCTGATTTCTAACCTAAGCCAATGGGTAGATGGAGAAGTCTGGAACAGGAAAGTCAGGGGGGAATATGTGTGAAGGAGAAAGGAATAGAACCCATGGGCCATTTTGACGATGTAATGTTTGAGGTGTCTGTGAAATATCCAAGTTGAAACACTAGTATATGGCAGTCAGGAGCTCAGAGGAGCAATCTGAGCTGGAGCCTCACATTTGGGAGTCACCACATTTAAAGCCAGGGGAAAGATGAGGAGACGAGGGCAGATGCCGAGCAAGAGAAAGAACTCTTTGCACTGGAGAACCCAACATTTATAGGGTGAAGAGAAGGTGGAGCCTGAAGAGAGGCCAGAAAGAGACATGGAAGCATTAATAGGAAATGTGGTGGGGGAATACCTGGTGGGGGGAGAATGTTTTGAGAAGGGACTGAGTTTTGAACTTTACCAACACTGCTGAGAAGATGGCTGAGACAGGGAAAGAAAGGGGACCTCTGGCTATGGAAGCTTGGAGGTTGTTTTTGACAATGATGACAGAAGTCTTGGCATAGTGGTGGGGACAGAAGCTGGATCTGATTGGTGTGAGGAGCTGATGGGAGGTGAGAATGTGAACACATGCTGGGCAACTTCTAGAAGACTGTCCTGAAGGAGAGCAAAGGGTTATGAACTTGGGGAGAAGGGAGTGTGAGGTCCAGAGGAAGCATGCTTAAGACCTGGGAAAATGAGAGCCAGTTTGGCTATTTTGCAAATCATTCTGTCCAGCGTAGAGGGTGATGATGTGGGAAAGGACCATGATGAGAGTGGGGTCATGAGGCATGCTGATGTATGTGTGGAGGGACAGTGTACCTGCCTCCCCTTAAAGGAGGTCATGTATTTGAAGACACCCAGGATGGAGAATGCACTCACTCCATTACACTTGGCAAAAAAACCCCACAAACACAAACAAAAGTCCGATTGTACGTTTACCATGTACTAGTCCCAATGTTAGGTGTCAGGGTTACAGAAAGTTGAGCAAATCACCTTGTATAGGTCAAATGTAATACTCTTCATTGCTTATCAGCCAAGCATATGAATAAGACCCGAGGGAGTCAACACAGTTGAAAGATAGATCTGTTAATATTTTGAGTAGGAATAGAAAATGACAGCAGAATCAGTATGTCAGGATGTTGCTGCCTATCCAGAAGATTTCATCACGCTAGTGAAGTTAGGTGCTTCCTGACTTGCTTCCCTAGATAAGTAT